TATCTATCTATAATCACCAAATTCTTTTGTCACACCTAAATCTTTCCAAAATCTATTGTAACCATGTAATCATAATTTAAAACCATTGAAAAAGACTTATGTCTGGTGATGGGAAATATTACTTGAGTAGGCCTTCCCCTTGACTTGTACATTCGCTCGGCACCCAATCAGGCCAGCGTTCGACTTGGATTAATCACGATCTCGATTCACCCGACCTCAAGGCGCTTGTAGATCGGCATGATCACCAAACAAGTACAGTTGATAACTTAAGTCCAACCCAATCTTAATAGATATTCATGAATCTTAGTACACATGGCATGTGAGGCTCAATTCCCGAGCTCGGCCACTGCATGCATGACACGTGCTAGGCATGTTGGGAGTCTAGCATGTTTCCCATTTTCCATCTCCTACAAATATCGCATTTATGGCAAGGGAGGGGATACTTTAGACATTTTCCACCTACAACTATACAACTTGGATCCTCTGACCTTACGTCATTTTCCAAACTCAAAACTTAAACCAACAAGCAGACTAGAGAATGACCTAAATCCAGATTCAACCTCAATACTTATACGTATTTGTGAGAACTACCATATTTACCACATCAAGTAGGTAGAACATGATTATAGTAAATCGCAAATTTAATTTTTGTCAATATCTTGAATTTTCTCTCCCCATACAATCATAATTTAAGATACTCCGTATAATTTAGTACCACATGCAATACTAATACTAGGATTACTAGGTGTGTATAATCATAGTAGAAACTACGGATATGGTAAGAGTACACACTACACAGAAACAAACAGTCCACGACATTATTTTTTTTTTTTCAAGTAAAATTAGAGCCAAAAAGGAAAGAAGAGAGAGAGAGAGAGAGAAGGCGAAATAAGTATAATGAGTGAATCCAGAGAGCAGGTCTAGCACATGACTAAAGCAAGCCTAAAACGACGAAAAAGCAAAAGCTGCTCTGCCCCTTCCTCCGCCTACTCGCCGTAGTAGTAGTTCGCAGACTTTGCCAGCCATTGCAGGCCAGTGAAAGAAAGATCGCTCCTTTTCTTCCCTTCCCTATACCCTCATAGCGTAATCCTATTACTATTGCTATTGCTATTCTCGTTGTTACCTAGTACTCTACTCGTATTAACATTCTCGGCAGCTGCTAAGCGCGCCGTAGCTGTTGTAGTCTCGCCGAAAAAGCATTCAATTCCCAGAACTGAAAACTGAAAACCCCCCATTTATTGCGCCTGAGAGGTGTTTGCTTAAATTCGTATTCCCTGCTCGCCATTAATCGCGGCTTCTAGTGCTCTGGAGTAGAGACGCAGTCACACAGGCAGGTAAGGGGAGTTCAATTTTACGCTGCGATTTCAAATTTCTTTGCCGTTACGGATCTGCTTCGCGGGTTTGGATCCGGGAATTGTCGTACGGACTCCAATTTATTTTTTTCTTCCTTTCTTTCTGCTTCGGGAGTGATTATACGGTTGTGGGTGGGAAATGGGAATGCCGTTTTTGTCTCTATTGTTGATTGGTTTTGTTGTTTTTGCTTTTGAATTTGATTTGTTTATTGCCACTATTTGCTTTTGGACATTCTTGCGGTTGTGTATTGCGTGGAATCCAAGTAATTCTGCACAGTTTGTAGTGGGGAAAGAATGTGGAATGGCTGCTGCGTTTTGTATAGTGTTTGATGTCTAGATTTTTTTATTTTTTTTTTCCTCTTTGGAGATGATTGGTTTGGCTTGAGTTAGGGATTTGAGTTAGTGGGTAGATGATATATTTTGGGAATTGTAGAGGTAATACAGAGTATATGAGTAGGGGTTTGCTTGTAGTTTATGTTGTTATTTTCTCTTGATTTTGATCATAAACAAACCAAGAAGATCAATAGACCATCTTTCTCAAACCAAGACAAGATGAACAATAGCTCAATAGGCCGCCCTCAAGTCGAGCTTAGAGCTTAGAACCTTGTGGCTACCAAGCCAGCAGTCCGACCAACTTGGCTAGGACTGCAAAAACAAGTTTAAGGATGTTGGTATTGTTTTATACCTTGTTTTTCAAAACTTGAGTTTCAAAAACAAGTTTAAGGTTGTTTCTTGTTTCACAATTATGCAAATTTGATGTTCATTCTTGCTGACACAAACATCTCTTTCTTCTTCTTGAGGAGGGAATGGTTTGGATGTGATAATTTCTTGATTGCTAAAGCATAATGTTTAGTAAGGTTCTTCTTCATGCCTATAAAGAGGTGTGTAATTGAGTTTGGGACATGGGAGTAATCTTTGTTTTCTTGTTGTTTTTGTAGAGGTGTGCTTGTGATGATATTTTGTAACCAGAGATGCAAAGGGGTTCAGAATCAAAACCAGTTCCAAGGCAGCCTTTAGAGGCTAAGGTGGCGCCTCTGCCCTCACCGTTGTCTAGTGAGGGTAAATTGATGAGTACTCACCCAGTTTTTGAAAGACGAGATGTGGGAAACAAACCCGAGGCTAGATTGATGAGTACTCGCCCAGTTTTTGAAAGGCCTGAGGCTACTAAATTGATGAGTACTCACCAAGTTTTCGAAAGGCCTGAGGCTAAATTGATGAGTACTCGCCCAGTTTTCGAAAGGCGAGATGTGGGGAACAAACCCAATTTGCAGGAGTTTGAAGATCTCGTCTTAACTGGGCCTCCTCTACAAGCATGGAAAGGAGGAGGGATGATTTGTCATGAGACAGAAGAGGATGTTATGCTTGATGTTGGTTCATCGTTTAAGACAAGTGCTGATTCGTATGAAGATATCAATTCTTCATCGTTCCATGGGGTCAGCCACCCGGCTGAACCAGTTGATACAGACCTGATGAGACCGGTGTACGTACCAATTGGCCAGAGCAAAGGAGATGGTAAAGGCTTGGTAAAAAGCATGTCTAGGAAGGGCGCTTTCTTAGAGGATATTTCAATCAGGGTTCTTCCTACTGCAAAACCGAGCCTATCTCTTCTTTCACCTGCAGAGCGCTTGATTGAAGAACCAAACGATGTAGCTAGAATCTCTTCTCCCTTTGCGGTTCCCAGACCATCTCAAAATACCGAAGCTAGTCTGCCCCAAGATCCCGAAGAGAGGGAGTGCATTTGGGATGCTTCACTGCCTCCGAGTGGTAATGTAAGTCCGCTTAGTAGCATTGATAGTGTTGGCGTTGCTAGAACTATGAGCATCGTCAATAGCTGCACGAGCACATATAGAAGTGACGGGATGTTGAGTGATGGCATGCTCAGTATAGACCGGAACTTTGAGAGCACAAAGGCGAGCATGCAAGGGGATTCGCTCGAAAGTGCAAAAACTAGCCTTAGCAGGGCAAGTAATAGCAGCGGCCTTAGTGATGACAGTAACTGGAGCAACATTACGGGCACTGCCAACAAGCCTCACAAAGGGAATGATCCTAGATGGAAGGCTATACTTGCAATTCGGTCACGAGATGGTGTATTAGGCATGAGCCATTTTAAGTTACTCAGGAGACTGGGTTGCGGTGACATTGGCAGCGTTTATCTCTCCGAGCTGACTGGGACCCGCTGTTACTTCGCTATGAAAGTAATGGACAAGGCATCCCTCGCGAGCAGGAAGAAATTGACCCGGGCTCAGACAGAGAGAGAAATCCTGCAACTGTTAGATCACCCATTCTTGCCAACTTTGTACACTCACTTTGAGACTGATCGATTTTCTTGCTTAGTCATGGAGTATTGTCCCGGAGGGGATCTGCATACTTTGCGCCAACGACAACCTGGAAAACATTTTTCTGAGTATGCTGCAAGGTATTCAGGGGGAGACCCTTCAGTACAAATAAAACATTCAACAGACTTAAGAGATTTCAAGCTATATATATATGTTTTATTCTTTATTCTCACTTTCACCTCTTTTTGGTTGAATGTAAGGATATCTTTAGCACTGGTTCCTTTATCAATGCTCTTCTTTGATGCAACAGGTTTTATGCGGCAGAAGTTTTACTGGCACTCGAGTATCTTCATATGTTGGGAGTTGTGTACAGAGACTTGAAACCAGAAAACGTTCTGGTCCGAGATGATGGCCACATTATGCTTTCAGATTTTGATCTTTCCCTAAGATGTGCTGTTTCCCCCACACTTGTAAGGAGCTCTTTAGATCCATCCAAACAAGGAGCTGCCTTCTGTGTCCAGCCAGCCTGCATTGAGCCTACATCTGTCTGCATTCAACCATCTTGCTTTCTCCCGCGGATTTTCCCTCAGAAAAACAAGAAAAAGTCCCAGAAGCCTCGAATAGAGCTTGGGCTATCATCTAGTACAGCGCTACCCGAACTAATTGCAGAGCCTACTTCAGCTCGGTCAATGTCATTTGTAGGGACACATGAATATTTAGCTCCGGAGATCATCAAGGGAGAAGGCCATGGCAGTGCAGTTGATTGGTGGACATTTGGCATATTCTTGCACGAATTACTATATGGTAAAACTCCATTTAAAGGGTCGGGAAACAGAGCAACTCTTTTCAATGTAGTAGGGCAGCAGCTCAAGTTCCCAGATTCACCTGCAACCAGTTATGCAAGCCGGGATCTTATCCGTGGCTTACTTGTTAAAGAGCCACAACATCGGCTTGGGGTAAAGAGAGGAGCCACCGAAATTAAACAACACCCCTTCTTTGAAGGCGTTAATTGGGCACTGATTCGATGCAGCACCCCACCAGAAGTACCAAGACCAGTCGAACCTGAGCTTCCCCCTGGCGTAAAGATGGGGCAAGGGCAAGTTGATCCCATCAGTGTTGCTGCCAATAGCAGTAAAAGGATAGTAGGAGGGGTAGGGGTAGGGGCAGGAGCAGCAGACATGAAACCCGAGGGTAAATTTCTTGACTTCGAGTTCTTTTAGTATAGGCTTGTTTTTCCATCCATTGTCTTGTCACTTTGTCTTCAACAGATATATCCTCTGTATGGGTTGTTTTATCAGTAGTGGCTTCCTAAGTTCCTAGTCCAGCTACCTTAGATATGAATAGGTTCTTTTGTGATTAGTTGAAGACAATATAGCTGATGAATTCTATGTCTATGTTATGATGAATAGGTAAAATTCATACAACCTTAATTGTGGGCAAAAACCTTGTGTTTTCACTCCCTAACTGCAATTCTTCTAATACACCATTAACATCACTGTGGTTGAATCAGATTTCTTGTTTGCTTCTAGTAAGAATTGGCCTTTTTCTTATTCATTTTTCCTGCAAAGTTCATAATGCCAGTACACTGCATTATTATTATATAAGCTTTAAAAGGCTAGCAAAATTTCCAAATTTCATTTGAGTTGAATATGAAAATAGGAAAATTCTAAGGTGCGAATCATACCGTCTTTTTATCACTTGAATTCATGTTTGCACTCCATAACGGTGTAGCATTTCTCTTTCTTCTTCCTTTCAACACTTTCATTTTATCACTCTTCGGTCAATTCTCTTCCTCGAAGCTTTTATCAGTCTGAATTGCCGCTTAATCTTCTGCCGCCATGCCTGAACAAACAATCTACGCATGTTATAGCCAAGTTCAACTAGTAATGAATGGAGGAGAATCAGGAGACGACTTCGCTCTCCGTTGCTTAATTTTCATTGGGGTTCTCAGATTAGAGCTTTTGACGATGATAGATTCGTTTTATGATGGGCTTTTCAGCGGCGGGTATTCACATTTGGCGCAAATTATGCTGTGCATCCGTATGCACCGCACGGTGCATACGGATGCAAACATGACGTCATTTTGGTTAAAAAATGCTCGTCCCACTTAAAAAAGAAATCAGGTTCAATTTTCAGGCAATAGCATTTTTATATATCCATAAATTCATAACTATATATCCACAATGAATGAATGAAGTAAAAATCCACAATGAATAAACTAAATATCCACAAGAACTAAATATTCACAATAAATGAAACTAACTATCCATAAATTCATAACTATATATCCAGAAATTCATAACTATATATCCACAATGAATGAATGAAGTAAATATCTACAATGAATGAACTAAATATCCACAATGAATGAACTATATATCCATAAATTCATAACTATATATCCACAATAATGCTATTGCCAAGAATCGAACCTGAATTTTTTTTTTTTTTTTTTAAGTGGGACGCGCATTTTTAGTTAAAACGACGTCATTTTGTATCGTATGCGCCATGCATGATGCATTCAGTTGCACAGCATAACTATTGCACATTTGGGCCTGTTGTTCAAAATGGGCCCAAGAAATCAAGTTCATGCTTCCGATCCATCCATGCGGAAGTTCCAAAATCCAAATATTCACACTTGCTCTATTGCTTTGAAATTAGGGATTTTATCCCTTTAATTCGGCTTTTTGGCAATTCACTAATAATAAGCTATTGAATTTTTCTAAGATGTCGGTTGATTTCATTGATACTAAGGATAAGGGTTGCCAATGAGTCTACTGACATGAAGTGGGATCGTTATACTGTGCATCCGGATGCAAAAACGATGTCGTTTTGACGTCTAACTTAAAAAAAAAAAAATAAGAATTGCATAACTACACATTCATAATTTCATAATTATACATCTAAAATTACATTACTACACATTCATAATTTCATGACTATAAATCCAGAATTGCATAACTACACATCCATAACTTCATAACTATACATCCAGAATTGCATAATTACACATCCATAACTTTATAACTATAAATCTAGAATTGCATAACTACACATCCAGAATTACATAACTAAAAATCCAAAATGAATGAACTAAAAAATGAATAACATAATGTTGTTCCTAGGAATCAAAACTGAATTTTTTTTTTTAAAATAGGATTCGCGTTTTGATGCAAAACGATGTCGTTTTTGCATCCGTATGCCCATGAAGTGACTCTCCCATTTAAGCTTAGTGTGGACGGCTCTTTGTATTTTAATAGGTTGAAAAAGTAGTTATTAAATTGAAATATTTTTTTAAGATGCTTATTAACACGTGTTGACGGTACACAATATAATCCAAATAACATACACAATTGTATTTTAAAAAAATAGGAAAATGATTTGAATGCCTATTTATAAGGGAAAATATATTGTACTCTCACTTTATACTCTTAACTTTTACTTTCACACACAAAATTTTGATGTAGGCACTTGTATTGTGACCCACATGAAAAAGATAGCTTATCAGAGTCCGCCACATCAAGGAGTAAAATTGAGTGTGTACATGTAGTATAACTCATTTATAAATTTGAACCCTAAATTTAATGACACATGATCACTCCTGTCCAAAAGCTTGTACATTAGAGCCACAACAATGCTAAATTCATACATTTCTAGATGTCCACATGTGTGTACACTTGTGCCTACAACAAGACCAAATCCATATTTCTCAGGATGTCCAAATGTTTGTACCTCCTAAAGCCTGTATTATATGGCTGGTATCAAAACAAAATTTATAAACTTATTTGAATTAATTGATCAGTTGAGCTATGTCCGGAGTATATTGCTCAATGGGTAGTGTGTTTTCAGCCCCACAGCCAAAAGTTCTTTCATTTACTTTGATATATTCCCATTCATTACTTGGTCCCATTCACCCACCTCCAACTTTAACTCCTTTAGCCTGCTCAACACCTTTCGCTACTTTGTAGTAGTTGGTTCAGAAATCTTCATATACGTGAAATATCTAGCCTTCATAAGAAAAATGGAAAATCCAAAGAAAATAGCATACTGCACCCACAGCCAAATATAATATAACCTAAAAGGGAAAATTTGCATGTTTTGAAACCTCACAATTATTGCCCAAAATGCAATTTAGCTACTCATTATTAATTTGCGTAAATTCAATTCCTTAATTATTCCAAACATTTTCAATTTGGCCCCTCAATATTTAAACTTCCATTCAATTTACAGTTTTGCTTGGGTTCTTTTGAAATTTCAACCTAGCTCCCACTTTTCCTCCATAACTCTAGCAGTTATACCATGGACCCGGGTCCAAAATATACAATTTACATACTGAATATACAATTTAAATTGTAAATATTTAGTATGTAAATTGTGAACACTCATATACCTCATAATTATAGGGTTGAGGGACCAAATTGACAATATTTACAATAATTAAAGAACCAGATTTCAAAAATTGACAATGATGGATTAAATGGCATAATGGGTAAAATTGAAAGACAAAAAGTGTAATTTTCATTAAACTATTAATTTATGTTCTATATATTTTGGATTGTTAAATTTCAAGAAAATGAGAAGTTTGGATTATCTCCGGCCGATTTGGTCTAAAAGTTGATTTAGTAACCACAATATTCTAAATTAGACTCCCATTTGAGCTAACAAACTACCTAGTTTAGTTTATATTATTATGATTTTTTACCAACTAGGATCACAAGATAAACTTTATTGTAGTGATTGCATATTTTTTCCTATAATAATGAATATGAAAGTTTGACTTCAAGTCCAAAAAAGTAGAGGTGTTGGTGTTTTTGAAGGGTGTGATTAGGGGCTGTCATGACAGTAACCTGTCATGGCATGTACCATTTATTGGAGTTGGAACATCACATCCAAATTATTTCTGAGTGAAATCACTGCACCATCATTTCATTATTAACTTCCAACTGCCATATAATTATTATAGTTTTCTCTGCACAGCTTTCAAGAATACAGAGGGAGAGGAGAATCACCTCCACATGTTAAATTTGACAAGTATTTTGTTTTAGCAAAAAAAACACAGCAGTTGTTGGAAGCATCTGGTGTTTGCTGCAGATCCAAGAAATCATAAATTTTAATTTGCCATTTTAAGTGGTTGGAAATGATTAGATTAAGGGATCTGTCATCTGTGGATGTGGAAGAAGACAAAGTATACTGCTTCAACAACCATGGTCTTCACAGCCTAATTCCTGATCAAGAAAAACAAGAATCTGAGGTAGTCACTTGCATTTTATTGACACTATATACAGTTCTGCAGTGACCTAAACCTAACTTTCACTTTGTCTTCTTCCCCCCACCCCAACCACCATGCATTATTTTATATTTTTGGGGTGGGGATGGCATAGGAGAGCGATTTACGAAAAAGACCGTCTACAGGTTCCTTAGAGCATCCTCAACAGTTGCGATTTTTGTAGGTGTGATTAAGAAAGGAAAATTGAGGGGAAGAGAAAAAGAAGAAAAAAAAAAAAAAAGACAACAAAATCTAAATAAATTGAAAAAAAAAAACCGTATTAACGCGCCCGCTAGGGCGCTCCTAGTGCGGACCAGGCGGATTTGTTCTGGCTGATTGGTGGGGCCCACAATTGAAACCAAAAACGCAACACACTAAAATTTTCTCTCTCCTCTCACTTCCACCTAGGATACATGGCCTCAAAAACTGTGCAAAAACCATGCCAAAAACACTGATGGAAATGCTCTTAGAGTGGAAAGAACCGAACCTTGAACCTTGCACCCGGCCTAAGGCTGTTAGCAAAGCAGAGCTCTTTACTTTCTTTAAATTAGTAACTAATTGAGCTATGCTCGAGGACATATGAGCGATGTGTAAAAACAAAGTCCTGAACCTTGCAACTGCCAGCAAAACAGACCTCTTTAACTTTCTTATGATTGATCAACCAGTTGAACTATACCTAGCACATACGCGTGATGTGTGAGAGGCAGCTGAACATATTTAACATTTTAACATGGACAGTTTGGTTCTGTCTATTAGTGTCTAATAATGCCATGAACAACCTTCTTCCTGGCTACAGGTAAGCATTAATTATTAAAAATCCCAACATAATAATTCATTTACAGAAAGTATGAACATCTATATCAAGAAAGGTTTGGGGGCAAAGGAAGATGAAGAAAGATTCAATAAATGTAGTTATAGTGGACAGCCATTCAAACCATACATGATTGAATGTAAGCACTCAATGATCACAAATTAAAGCTCCCCCCACTCTTCACCCACTTTAAGACAGTTTTCCTACAAACATTGCTTCAAAAACTACAAAAAATAAAAGCAGAAAACTGTAAAACTTACCTCGGTAGAAGCGCGGTTTTTGACTGATCAAAACAAGATCTGGAGCAATGGGGTCCCCACAGCCAGGACCAGCAATTTTTTGGGTCCTGATTGAGGGCTAAACTAGTGTGGCATGTTTCCTGTAAATGAGACATGAAAGATGCAATAAAGGAAAATAATGTGAGAGATAATGTCAAAATCTATTTTCACATTTAGACATAAAACAGATGGGAACAAAATTATTCATCCCTCAAAAGAGAAAGTTGATCTCTAGTACATAAAGGGTAATGAATTTCTATACAGAGATGAGAGATAACCAATGCTCTTCTTCCTGCCAACAGGGAGCGTGGCAAAACTGCAGAAGTCCAAATATCTACATAACAAAATATTAAGCAACGAAGACAATAGACAAAAAGAGGACCACAAGAAATGCCAGCACTCTCCTTTTAGATTTGGCTCAAGAATGCTAAAATGACTGAGAAGAAAACAGTAATAGAATTGGATATATTTCGGGTTTTTTTTTTTTACTTGATAGAATAAGAACGGGTGCATACAGCCTCGAGGGCTTCTGTAAATAAAGCAGAAAAACTTGTCATGGCCTGGAATACTCCTGGCAAGCCAGTCTGAATGTTATTCAGAGTCATCGCTCTGGTAACTTCTACTGCCTTTGAGTGTTTTACCATCTCATCTTCCACCCG